AGATAGGTTCTGGCTTTTTAGGTATTCCAATTTGGGTCTACTTAGTGAGTACTTTTGTGTATCAGCTTAGATAACACTGTTGGTGTTTTTCTGGTTTTTTTTCCTTCTTCTTTTGGCTAGACATTGCGGTGCAAGTTGATTATTTGCAAGCAGTACGGATGTTTTTAGTCTTTTTTTTTATTATGGAATTTCTTTCTCGGATATCAGTTTGTGTAATACTTTTTTATCTGCAATTGCATCATTTTTTTAATACTACCAGTGTTATAGGTATAAAAATAAAATATGTACACAGTGTGCAAGGGATAAATTGTCGCCTAAATTACGCAAAAATGAAAATAACACTGACATCGCATTTTAACAGACATTTTCCAAAATTACAAAAATATCTTGAAATACTAAAGAGTAGATTTATTCAATAAAATCGCCATCGGTTTCAACCACTCCCTCCAGACGACTTCAGAATCTCTCGCAACTCTTCTGGGCGGTCTCCTTGTTTAATTCGGTGAATGCTGCCATAATCCTTGCCTTCAGTTCATCTTTGGTGTTACAAGGAATTTTGTTAGACTCTCGCTCAACAGCGCCTCACACAAGAGGATTGCAGTTTGTGGACTTAAGTAGCCAGATGTAAGAGGTGATGTGGTCGCACAAATTGTCTGACAGTCATGACTGGGTTCGCTTGCTTGTGTAGCATGGTGCAGAGTCCTGTTGCCAGACAGGATCTTCCAGCAGCCACCCTCTTGGCCCAGGGCAGCACTAATGTATTTACTTCAGATTTTATCTTATCGAATCAAGTGTACTGTCTGTTCTGTTATTAACCACTAGCTGGAACGAGAAATGAATTCTTACCTTTGTGCAAATAGCGAATGTGGCGGCTGGAATTTGAACACGGCATGCCAATAACTACGACACTATGCCCTCCACATATATATAGAGTAAATCAAAGGGTGTACTTGTATACGAGAAATGCTAAAAGAAGTTATGAATCCGACCTACTTTCCAAATTTTAACAAATGACCAATCAGAATTTGTATATTACCTCTTCTTGGTCTAGCCGGGAACTTTTTTGGCACCCCCTCATATATACATATTTTGGGGTTAAGAAACCGAAATTTGGATTTCTAAAACAAAACTTTGATAAACAGTAAGTTTCAGATATTTCGCCATTGTGTTAGCGCTTTTAACGTTTTATACGCTAAAAATTATTCTCTATTCACTGCCATGTAGACCGAACTCGACAAGAAAGACGAAATGTCTACTGAAGCGAGAGGCTATAAATGACACAATAAATTGCTAAAATGTAATATACACAATATGATTTTTATAGATTATACAAAAGCGTTTGATAAAGTACGTCACATGGAACTGCTAGGTATTAAATATTAAAATAATCCACAACCTATACTGACAGCGAACCGCCTGCATACGGAGAGAACAAATTCAGTAAATATATAAAAATAGGAAGGTGTGTAAGACGAGGATGTGTCTTCTCACCGAATTTATTCAACCTATAGGCGATTCTGAGAGAATTAAAGTCCTACCCGGATTCATTATTGGCGGTTACAATCTTACGAACATAAGATATGCTGATTGTGCAGTGTTGATAGACACAGAAAGAAAATTACAAGAACTACACAAGGCAGTTAAGGAAAGCAAGAAAAAAAAAAAATGACGAAACATCACTTGCAATAAGACAGCATGTATTGTTGTTGGCAAAAGTAATAACTCAACATGCAAATTACCAAATGGAGATACCAAAAAGCAAACAAGTCCGACAACTTAAATATTTGGGAAGTGTTTTAACAGCGGACTGAACGTGTGACACCAAAATTCGAAGACGCATCAGAGGAAAATAGTACATAACTTACCTAACGAGCTTGTGTAAATTGTTAGCAGAACAGAGATTAGGAGAGATAGCAAAAAGACAAAATTTACTGAGGTACAAAGGACGGGAAATTGTGGATAGCCATGATCGCCAGCGTCCTGAAGGGGTAATGACACAGAGGAAAAATAGTGATTTGTTAAGCGTAGCTGAAATGTGACACAAAATCACAAGTATGCAGCACCCAGTGAGGACGGAATATAAATCAGACGTCATGGATCTAAAATACAAGTCGACCTCAAAAGTCTAAGTTAGGCCTATATCTACCGCATAGATAAACTTACGTTAGATTACCAGTGGCCCAAAATTTAGGCTTACCGTTAAATGAAGTTAGACCACAGTATACGATAGCTTGTGTTCACGCCATTTTCTTTTATATTGAAACACTAATCGTAATATCTTTCTATGAACCTTTTATAATAAACATCCCAACACACACCGCTAGGTACCATATATTGCATCGGTAAGGGCAAGAGGGACAGAGGAAAACAACGCATAACATACTTGACGGGCTTGAGAAAATGGATGGCGGAACAGGGTTTTAAAATAGCGAAAAGACAGAATTTATTTAGACATACAAGAAACCGGAAATTGTGGAGAGCCATGATCGCCTACGTCTTGAGGGTACATGGCGCATAAAGAGAGAGATAACTTAGCAAACATTTAAAATTCGACAGGTATATTGATAAACACATTAAAGCCAACATCAACTACTATAAACTATTAATATCGTAGATTACACATAGCGTTAATAAAATAGTAATTTTGTATTACTATTTTATTATTTTATATTAATTTTGTTAATATGTCAAATATGTTCACGAAACACTTTTGTATAAAAATTTTAGTAGGATATTTGTTACAGCCTGCTGGGGATGCGGTGTACAGTAATTGTTAAGCGTCCTGTCCCACTTCTTTACAACTCTGTGGTAAAGGTTTGCATTTTATACCCGCCATATAAGTCGACGACTAGTTTTGGAAATATTTTGGGCTTGGAAACTCGACTTGCACGTCGTGATTTACGGTAGTTTGCGAACCATGACGCCGCGTCGAAATGTCCATCTATATCACAGCTTGTATTTTATTTTCATTATACATTAATATTCTAAGAAAATAGCTTAATAACAAGTCGTCATTCCGCAAATAAACTGAAAAAAAAATAAGCACGTTAGATGTTTTAAGTATCCTAAGAGTGATCAATAAGTCTGTAGCGTAAAACGTTTGAGTTTGGTGCTGAAAAGTTCTCGGCGCTATCGAAACTGGAATGGGCCATTGTGAATGTTATTCAACCTATTCAAATTACAGTTAAATGCACCAGACATTTCCTTTCCCGAGTTTCTTTAAGTAGGTAAAAGATTAACAAAAAGAAAGAAATAAAATAAATTTCTGATGGCTTTATCACGTCCGAATCTTTCGAAAAATGCACTCCTTTTCAAAGTTGAAAAATAATGTAAAATAGATAGTTTTCATCATTCGACCTCGAACTTAGGTAATTTAAGATCAGGCCTGCACAAAATGCAATCCGCGTGACTACAGAGTGTGGCCCGCAAGATGTTGTCAATTTTTCGTGTTCATCAGAATAAATTCGGCGACTGATCGTGTATGAAAAATTGAGTTGTATGGAAGCCTAACTTTATTCAAATTAATATTTCACTGTTTTTTTTGTTTTGTTTTTTTTTTTTTTAATCTAATTTTTTTAATCCTTTTAACTCTCCGTAAAAAATAGTTCTCGCCAGCCCTCTCTCTATATATCTGTTTCTATCTCACTCATACTATAAAATTTACTCTTTCGGTCCGCGGTTTATTTTCTACGTCCAATGTGTTACTTAATTTTTTTTTTTTTTAATCGTGCAAGCCTCTTTATGATTATCCGTCATAAATAAAATTACTTACTCGAAACAAACGAACGCGTTGATATTTTTAATATCAATATGTAATATTTAATATTTTTAATATCAATATGTAATATTTAAATGCAATATCAGTCGCTAACTACTGTCCTCCTGATAACTCTTTCCTCTTCCCGCTCATTAATAATGTTTCTGTCCCTAATTCTTCCACACTCTGTAACCCCTTGTGTTTTAGTAGCTTTACTGTATTTTTTTGGTGGGGGCGGGGGCGATACTGATTAATAAAAAAAATAAAAATGAATGCCTTTAAGCTGCCTATCATGAAAAAAAATCTCAGTGTCGACATTTATTCGAGTCAGTTTTTCTGATGTTTCTTTCTACAGGTAACCGACAAGCAGACTTCAACCGAAAACTAACATGTATCGGACATCAAATAAACTTCCAGGCAAAGTAAGAGGTCGTTCCGAAAGTATTGAATCCTCTGACACAGGCTCATGACGTCAGAGGCGAATATTGGTTGTATGGTAGAAAAGGGTAAACTACTTTGTAAAGATGATTGTCTGGCAAAATCGCATCTGCCATGAAAGAGCATACAAAGCAGAAATATATCACAATTACATTCGTGCGAAAAAAATTGATCCATTGACATCCATCGACATATGCTGAACGTTTACGGAGACCTAACAATGGATGTGATCACGGTCAGACAGTAGGTAAAGCGTTATATTAGTGGAAATAGTGATATATATGACAAGACATGTTTGAAAATATGGCATGCAGGCTCTTGTTCGTCACCAGTAAAAATGCATAGTAATTGGGACACTTGGGGAAAATAGTATTTAGCTGAAAACTAGTTCGGCGGTTTTATTTATACTACCTGCGTTTGTAGTAGTTTTCGTGGAAATAAGTAAGAGGCGTTACTTTAGGAACATTTCATAATCACTTAGGTAAAAGCTAAGTTAAAATCACTGATTAAAGAAAGAACTTTCTTTGTCCATAATATTTTCCGTCTTACGCCACATTTTGAGAGCTATTATATGAGAAAACTAACAAAAAGTTAGATTAAATTGAAGAAAAATCTATACCTTTTAAAAAAAAAAAAAAAAATTCAAAGGTAAGAGAGTTTGTTGCTCACAGAAAGGAAATGCGGTTTGTATAAGTTCAAAAGTAGACGAAAAGAGATAATTTGAAATACTTAGCTTTCTTGGTGATCTTACCAGTGCTTCAATGCGATGTGACCGCCAGACCATTATACCACTCGCCCATCCAAGCTTACAGCACTTGGTATTCCCAAGCGGTTCCCCATTTGGGTACTGACCAGGTTCGACGTTGCTTAACTTCGGTGATTGTATGGGAACAGGTGTTTCAACGTGATATGAACGCACTCCCCCTCCAAAAACTAAATGCAGATCAGGTTACGGGAAAATACATACAGTACCTTCGACTACAATTTTCCTTAAAAGTATATCCGATTACAATTAAACCTTAAAAATAATTTTCAAACCATATTTTCCATCTAAATTTATCCTATCTAATAATATCCTTATCTTTGTTGTTTCATAACAATACTGGGTACAAAGATGAAAGATGAGGAAATTAGTCCCAAATCAACTTACATACATACAATGACTACATTCTTTAGTCAAAGCAAAAATGTTGTGATATGTTTTCACAGTGCATGACTCCAAATAAAATCATTAAATTTCAATCATCAAAACTTATTTCTGTATTTTTATTTGTGAATTCAAAAGCGTACACAATATGGTTTTGAATTCAGTTTTCCTTCTCCTATACGGGTTAATAAATTATTAGATTAGTTAGAATATTTTCATCAATTTTAAAGATTATTGGGTAGTTAAAATATTATATAATAAAGGAGCTCACGTTATATTCAAGTAATTTTTACAGATATGACCCCCGTTGGAAAAAAAATCCCAAAACATAAATCTATCGAGACAGTTATCAACTTCTCAAAAAAAAAAAAAAAAAAATACTCACTTTCGTGTTAAAAATGCTTTTCTGCAACATTTTAAACTAAAAGTAATATTTGTTTCAAATTTAATTAAATATTAAATCAGCTAATATGTTTCAAATAAAGTTCCAGAAAAGTATTTTATTTTTGAAAGATTTTGTAATAAATAGAATTACGTTGTGCTGACAGATTTGTAAATATGGCTAAAATCAGACATTTTTAGAGATTTAAAAAAAAATCATCCCAGTAAATTTAAATTCGTTTTGAAATACAGCAAATATTTTGCTTATTGGAAATATTAAATTTAATCTATTAGCTTGAAAATAAGACTAAAATAAAAGTTTCAAGAAAGATTTTTCATTTTTAAAAATATATTTTATAGCTTAGGTATCACTTTTCTTTGGAGGTACCTAATTATAACATTCTGTATTTATATTTGGTATCTACTGCATGTAATATGTAGAGTACATGCACACCGTAATTACTAAAATACACATTTTTTCCACAAAAAATAAGTGTACTCTTTTCGATATGTATTTTTGGAAATTTTATTTATTCGTTATGAAAATTAAGTGAGAACATTGTAGTTGTGAGTGTACCCCACCATTGTTTCCTGTTTCTTGTTTTTAGATCCAGTCGGACATTGATCAGGGAGATAAATTATCAGTGATGACGAGGGCTGGAATTTAAATGCTTCAACATCGCTTAAGATAAATAGAAATATGCAGCAAAAATGTTCTCAACCATAAACATACATAAGAATTCTGTTAAAACACCAAAGAATTTTTCTCAAACGTCACCTTCGCAAATTTTCCTGGAAACTTTGCATACCCATACGTTCGAAAAAAGTCATCTGTGGGAATGAATGATCCAATTGTCTTTGAATGAACTTCTGCTAATGACCGATACTGTACTGTACTGATGCGGCATTCACCCTGGGCGGATTGAGCCGGCTTCTTCCTGTTATGAGAAGAAGATTCTTGGGATAAATTACAGAAGTAGGGTACCCAGGCCTACTCGGATAACGTTCTTGCTTGCCGCGGGGTTCCCACAGACGCAGAGACAGGAACGACCAGAAGCCGCCGGTTACCGATGCAGACGCTCCTTGGATTTTCACCAGAGCCCTTATTAGCCGGCGTGTGTGTCAGACCTGTCCGCCTTGGGTGGCCCTACCAGGAACGAAGTTCCGGGCGGCATAGCTCTGACAAACCTAATCTTAAACAGGAAACACGGGAAAAAAACTCTACTCCTGTTCAAAAGATCGGAGAGGCGTGTAAATCGGACGATAAGCGAACCATTTTTACATATACTATAAAATGGGCATATGTAAATCTGCATTTGATCAGAGTGTGCTTAATAGATGAGCCGATTGCATATTTCCAATCGGCATTAGTGGTCAATATTCGAGCCCAGTTATATATTGCGAATATCATTATTTTTGAAAAGGTATTAAGAGTTATTCTTTTGAAAGACTGGCGAAATATCTTCCCGTTCCAACCCATACAGTTTCGTACCAGACTAAACTAAAAGTAGAATGTATCTATGCATGGTTTTATTACGTTACACCATTATCTTCTTTTATGAGTTTTGTCTCTTCGGACTCTCCCCATCTTCCCACCCTTTAATACGGAAGATACCATGTTTTATGGGCGCACTCAAAAATCTAGATGACCAGAGCCATGCAGCCGATCTTCCTCTGACCTAGCTCTCACGGCACAATGAGGAAAAGGCTGGCTTGTATCATTCAATACCTCCAAAACCAAGCTAATAACATTTCATAATCACCGAGCAGACCCCACCAAATTTTCTCCTCCCCTTGAGGTTATGCTCTCTAGGAGGTTTCCTGTATTGAATGTGTATTAGGACAAACTCACTCCAGACTTCAAATGGAACTCGTATATACGAACCATCGCTAAAGGTGCTGTAAATAAATGGTCGGCTCCTTGTATCTCTCCAGAAACTACCTAACCGAGATTTTCTTTTTAACTGGTCTCGAACATCGACCACTGGTACCGGGTGGAAATATGCAACCGGTTCAGCTATCGAACCTGCTGCAAGTCAGACCCATGCAAAAGTGAAATATCGCTGCCATATCTAGACTGGAGCTGCCCAGTCTTCATTTTCCAGTTCTACTCGGCCTTGTGGGTGATGAATTATTTCCCACCCTACAACTCCTTTCCCCACAGATGAAACGTTGATCACCTCTCTCTATTCTATCATTAGTTTTACTGTAAAATTTTCAAACGAACTACATTCTTTAGTTCAACCAGTCCAGACCTTGACAGCTAGTAACAGTCATGCCATGTACAATGGGCTGACAACCATATTTGCTATCTATTCCATTGGTGGTGAGGAAGTTTCACTTAAATTCTTCTTCAAAACTTACTTTGTGGAACAGACATCTGGGAGGATGCTTCTCTGATCTTAACCTCAAGTCTATAGCCAAGCGTTATCTATCCTATATACCCACAGTCTGTATTTCTTACTTTCATCCTTACAACAACCTAATGCAGCAAACCTCTGCATTGAGTGGCTCTTAGGCCTTCATTAGATAAACAACAGTATAAAAAATATCTAAACAACGTTGGATTCTTTACTGCCTCTGTCTTCACTATACCATCCATTCACACAAAGCCGTTAGTTATGTTATACACTGCTGCTTTGTTACGTTCCGCGTCGTTCAGCCCCTTAGACCCCAACGCCACCTGATAGATGGTGTCAACAAGATGGTTTCTTATTCGTTTTATTAGAAGAGAGAGAAACAAACGTGATTGCATCGATTCTGTGGTACAGTAGGAGGAAGGACTCCAAGGGAACGCATGCTGCTCGTTGGCTTAGCGTCCCACCGCTTGCGATCTTAGTTTTCTATCAATCTTCGGTGTGGGTAGCGTACCAACGCTTCAAAATTCCAGCGGTCCACACCCCCACTGCATTCAGGAAAAATTTGTCCCTCTTGCCCTCTGTGTTATGTGAGTATTAATTTCTTCAAGCCCTCTTTATTATATTTTCCAGACGTGTCGACCGTCTCTTTCTGATTTTGAATATAAGTGTTCTTTTATCTCCCATGTTCAGTCTATGGTATTCTCAGCATCAGTAGAACATATATTGTCGCTTCCAGTCTCTTCCCTCATAAGAAAATTGTCCAACATTCACGGTCATATGAAAGGATAGCTACAACTTAGAGTTCAGTACTTATTTCTTGATTTCTGACAAAATTCTTTTATTTCTTAATTTCTTAGTTTCTGGAAAGCATCAAGCAAAAAAGAAAAGTTTCAGTTTCATCAACCAAAGAAATAAAAAAAAAATAATAGAAATAATTTTCCAGTTGATATCACAACTAAAGATTGATCATATGGTCTAAACGCCAATTCTTTTTTTATTTTTTTCACTAACATATTTATCTTACTTGACGGATCTTTATAGTGGATGTGTGGGTGGGGAAGACCCATTAACAACGTCCATTGGAGGCGAAATTTGTATCAATGACGTAAATTAACATCGTTGTTAGCTTTACACATCTCCAGGGCAACAAACTGCATGTGCGATCTAATGGAAGGCAACTAATTATGTATATTTTTCTCATCTCTAGAACCGAAATGTAAACCTAAAACCCCTGTCCTTATCTTTTCGGAACACATATTCGATATCTAAAAATCAATTTCGGATGTTTAGCTGTTATTATAGTATACAAATATATTCTCTCGCTTTCGCTATCATATAATGCCGGCTTAAAAACATGGAATTGATTTTTTTAGATACAGAAAATTCGCAAGGGATATCTTATTTTTATCAGAGGGAAACTCAAACAAAGTTCAGGGTTTTCAATATAGAAAGAATAAAAACAATGCACGAAAATAAAGCTTTTCTCATTAAATAGCAGTTAAACATCTTTTTATTCTGAAGTGAGTTCAATATCCGCTTTTCCATTTTAAACTTTTTCTTTTGTTTTTACCTAACATTGTAACCAGTTGATTCTCCTACACTTTTCTGTAGTAGAGCCTTCGTGATTTTAATATGCGGATAAAAACACAAAGGATCTGCATAAATAGTGTAAATAAGGATTTTAAAAAAGTCTTGGTGATTATTATCTTTCTTTCATGACAAAAAGAATTCCCTCCCCTACCTCATAACATGTATCATAACAACTGTAACGGTCTTGTCCTGGGTATGTCGATGAACTATATCCGGCAGCATGACCTCTGATCGGGAGGTTTTGAGGAGCGTAGAACCAATTAATTGCGGTTGTTCCCAGGTCCACTCTGATCCGGAGTGGTAGCATCTGTTATGGTTCCAGTTATAGTGACGCCTCCAACAAAAATCAACAGGTAATTCTTATAGTAAAATGACTAAGAATACATTTTTATAGCAAAATGACAGTGCAACGTAAAAAAAGTATAAAAATACATTTTTATAAAAAAAAAAAAATTATGAGCAATACATTTAAAAGAAACCAACAATGTATTTTATTATCTACAAACTATATCTAAACATAACTTTACCTGAAAGTATAAAATCATGTACAAATATTTAGATTTCGGTATTAAATAACCCATAGAGGTTGATATGCCGCTCAACAAAATCCACTACCATGGTAAAGGTCAAATTATGAGGAAAAACTCTTCATTGAATACATTCACCTGAAGAAAGATAGATCATGTGTAAAGCTATGAAAGCCCTCAGACCAGATTATCAGCAAAATGATACCAACAAGGCTCTGGATGAGATCTAATCATTTCCACTATTTACACTGGCCAAGTATTGAACTCAGAACTCTTTGGGTCAAGTTACTGGATTACTTCAACCAACGATTTTATTCATTGGGCCGCAGCAGAGTTTAACAAAAACTTGGAGTTGAGTTACTAAAAGGAATTAACTGAAACTGAGATATCCATAAAATGCGTGGCACTTTGGACTAAATTAAAACAATCTACTCTCGTAGACTAAAAGGGTTCGGTTGGAAATTTCAACGTATATCACCTGAAGAAGGTCGCAGCGTACAACGGCCGAAGCGTCGTAAATATGACAACGATGAGGACAAGAGCTCGAATAGTGCAAATAGTTATAATACAGCAATATAGACAGAGATATAATCACCTAGAAAAGGCCATTGAATTGACTGACCGAATTGTTTTGGAAACAACAAAAAATGAGAACAGTCCCAATGTTCTTTGAATATAAGTTTGCATACATTCGCTGCGGAAAGCTAAACACGGAAGAATGTAGTGAACGGGCTTTTTTTTTTTTTTTTACTGATCTTACTTGTCTCAATTACTGCGCAAGAGATCTAATTACGTACACACACTCAATTGTGCGCTGCGTGATCGTCAAATGTCCTGAAGAGACACGGCACATAGAAGGAAATGATATAACTGATGTTACATGATGTAGCAAGCTTCCATGGTAGATGATTACAAGATTGAATCTCTTTCGAGGCGGTTTCTTTTTCCTAAATACATGAAAATTATGTTCAGTTTCAAAGGTCTGCGGAATTTAAATGGCTGTAAAAGTGGTGATATCAAACAATAGAAAAGTGAAAATTCTGGTCTTTTTAATCACTTCAAGAGTGAGTGTTCAAAAAGATGACGCTTCTGATTGCCGGGTTTTCCAAATGGAAATGCAAGACACTGTTCAATTTTAAATTCAAATGATTTCTAACTTATACACAAATTGATATAAATGTTTCTACCTGGTATAAACTTATATACTAAAAAATCAATCTATTACATTAGAAAAAAAAATTCAATGTTACTTTATGTATTTTTTGTTTCCGCAACTTGACCCGTCTTTATTTTTTTCGTGCTTATGACCACATCACGTTGAACACCTGTCCTCATACGATCTTCTATGTTAAGCAACGTCGAACCTGATCAGTAGTTAGATGGGTTACTGCTTGGAAATACCGGGTGCTGTAAGCTTGAATGTGAGAGTAGTATAAAAGGGTGACGGCCATACGATCACAGAAGTTAAGCAACTTAGAGCCAGTCCTGAGTGACCGCCTGGGATACCAGGTGTTGTAAGCTTGGATGTACGGGTGGTGTATTGGATAATGGCTCGGAATCGTTAATCGAAGAACCAAGTTGAGTTAGTTATATTCACTTACGCGTAAATACCCAGAGGAAAGGTATGAACGCACCTGTTTTTCCCAGCTACGTGTTAATTAGTAAGATTTGTATCACTGTTTCTTTGGTGACAAAGAAAAGAGTACTGAGTTGCTACGTGACATCTGTCCTCCTATACGGCCGTGAATGAAGAGACCCGAGGCAGCGGAGATGTAATTCTACAGAAAGATGCTAAGGATATCACGAAGCGAGCGTGTGAGCAACGATGAGGTCTTGTAGAGGATGCAAACAAGGAGGAAACTTATACTTAACATAAGGAAGAGGCAGATGAAATTTCTGGGTCACGTAATGAGAAAGGAGGGCCTGGAAAATCTGATACTCACAGGTTGAATAGAGGGAAAAAAGAGCCAAGGGAAAGCAACGCATGACATACCTGGCGGGCTTAAGCAGGTGGATGGTAGAACGTGGTCTGGGGGAGTTGGCAGAGGCACGAAACTTATTGAGAGCCACAAGGGATAGGGAGTAAGTAGAGGGCCATGATCGCCTACGTCCTGAAAGGACACGGTACATAAGAAAAGAAACTACTATTATCACAAAAAATCTCACTTTGTAAAAATATTTTCTGGCTTTAAATAATTTGCAAAAGGTTGATAAACCATAGAAAACGAATCAATGAATATCTTTTTCGCTTAGGAATGAAACAGCATGATGGTATGATAACGGGAGGCTTGACACCAATAACTGAATATCTCATTAGTAAATAAGGGGGGTTAAGACATTAAATTAATTTCTTTTGCTTCATGTAAGTTTTTTTTTCTTTTTACTTTTAATGATTTAAAAAACAGGATTTGTTTTCCTTAAACATGCAATCAGTGCTGGACTTACATATATGCTAAATAAACAATAGGCTAGTGCCACACACCCTCGAGGTTTTTTTTAAAATATATTTTTTATTTTATTAGTTTATATTCTTTAACACTAATTCATAGAAATATATATGAGATATTCTTTTATCATGAATAATTATTAAAAAATTCTATACCGGAATTTTTTTTAGAAAAGCTTCGAATTTCACATAGCCTAGGGCTTCGCAAGTGAAAAACTGGCCGTGTATGCAATAACAGTTAAATTGTTCTTCCAAACAAATTTATTAAAAAGAATACACATTATGTCTATTAAATATATTCATCTTTTCGAAATTGCGAATCACTTTTCACAAATTTGGCTGTTTGTTGTAGATGTAAAGAATATTTTTTACAGCTACAACAGCCACGTTTACGAAAAGCGATTCGCAATTTCGAAAAGATGAATAAATTCAATAGACATAGTATCTGTATTCTTTTTAATAAACTTGTTTGGAAGAACAATTAACTACTATTACCTGTGGGACCACAGGTGAGAAAAGAAACTATTAGAATAGAACTTACATCTAGCCATTTTGACAATAAAACGAGGAGACCGTATTAGGTTAAAACTTTCCAGATCTTTCTTGGCTTATCAGAAATATAGCACTGTAAAGATTAATAACATTAAGAGATTTCGCTCGCAAATATATTACGGATTTGTCAAGTACAAAATAAGTAGTTACTGAAGACTGAAGAGGACTTCTTGTCCTTTTTTTTTGTGTAAGATTACGCTCCATTCTGGGATGTACTATAACCAGGCCCGGTGCGTACTACCCACGAAACATCCAACCCAGGAGGACCAAACCTGATTAGGAGATCCCTTGCTATCTTATCAACATTTACTTTTTTCTGCCTACATTTATGTACATTACAAATTAAAATAAACAACTGTTTTTTAATGGATTAAATTTTTTCGGATTTTGACGTCATTTATTTTTTTTTGTTCAAATCCGTGAATTTGTTTTGCACTTTTGTCCATGCTAGGTCTAAAAAAAGACACTATATAAAATTCACTATTTTTTTTATTCATAATGTTAATTGTACATAATTAGGTTAGAATAAAATGTGTATTTTATATGAATACTACCTTATAAAAATTGAAATTAGAGTTTGGTGGTGGTGGTGTGGGGGGCGTATTATAGATTTCGTAGGAGCTTACAAGACTCTTGCACCGGCCCTGACTATATCTGTTTATTCAAACTATAATCTTTGTTTCACCAATTTATTATCATATATGCTACGCTATGTAAGTAAAAAAAAAAAAGTTTACTTACCTGTCTCCAGTATCGTTCGACATTTGCATTAAAATATTAAATGTATGAAAGGATCTCCATAGAAACACCCAAATATCATTAAAAGATTGAAATTGTATACACGTGTCCTTGTTTCTGTTTTCAGACGTCGTCCTTTATATTTTATTTCTCCTTGGTTCGTGAATCATAATTGTCGTTTACAAATCTCTCTTTCTGTGAACGCCAGTAATTCGATCTCGTTCTTATCCTTTCAGATACAAAGTAACTGTTTCCATTTTTACGCAATCACTCAAAAACCATCTGCTCCAGTGTAACTGACGATTGCAATATTTTCGATTCGCATCGGCAAACACTGACAAGAGACTTGAACAGACTGGCCCGAATGATCCTAGACCGGCTTTACATGTTCGGGCAAACTCGCCGTCACTCGGTTTTCTTCGTTTGCAGCTTGGCATAAGTGATTCATACTTTGAGACTAGCACGTTTTTCAATATAAATATTTGACACGATAAATAAACTATTCCCTAAGTTAATAAACATGTTTACGCGGGCGTCCCTTAGTAGGGGCGCAAACAAGAAATATAAATAAATATAAGAAAAGATGGTTTTATTCGTATATAAGGGGCACCTCGATATGGTGTAAAGGTTAACAAACTTGTCTCGCTAGCTCATTTACAACATAGTAGTGATCTCAACCCTCACTGAGTTGCTCCATACTTGCGGCCTTGTGCCACATAAACTATATTTAATGACTGTCACGAGTAAGAAAAACAATGAATATAGATCAGAACGGCTATTTGTTACAAAAGGATAAAACATGAAACTAGCTAAAATAATAATGTGCGTGTGTGTATATGCGTGTGGGAGAGAGTACAGAAATCCAAGGAGGCATCAATCTTATCTACGTGCGACTACATCTGAAAGCAGATTTGGAAAAAAAAAAAAACAGAGAAAATATCATTGTCTATTTATAGGCTTAAAGAGTGACCCCTAGCGAGCGCTTTGGGTAGAGTCAAGTATGGTAACCCATAACTCATTATATTCGGATATAATTATACTCACTGAAGGATAATCCTGAAGTACATTTGTCTTATTGGACTAACCATGATTTCCAAAACCTGTTAGTTTTCATTTTATTTATTTATTTATCGTCTTTGGATGTAACGTATATCGGCGCCAAGAGTTCAATCGGCGAGTCGAGTTCAAATTCTAAGCTAGTCTTATGTGTTCACTTTTATCCTAATGGCTTTGGGAAATTTCCTTTCACACTAATGCCTTACTATAGAGGGTTTCGAAATTAGTACACTTTCAATACATTTTCGCATTAAGAAATTATGGTCAGGCCTATTACGATGAACGACCATAAATTCGACTTAAAGAAAGCAATTTTGATTAACACAGAAAGTAATTCTTTCATTATGTAGAAATTATTATAGGTTTTGGGTAACTAGGTTTCATCATTTTACAGTTGAAATTTTACAGTTAAAAATTCTAGAAGAGAATTCATACCTTTCGTAATGGATAGAGGCTCGGGTTGAGGAATCGGAGAGCCGAGTTCGAATTCCAGTCGAATCCATTACATTCACTTACGTGCTAATACCCTTGGAAAAAATATGAATCATCATCTTCTCCACCCAGCTATGGGTAAATAGCAGTACAGACCGTGTTCTATAGCCTAGGATGGCAACTGGTCTAACGCAAAAAGAAATGGCAACCTACTGCGGGAAAAAAATCTGCCTCGTCAGTCATGTATCTTTCGATACATGATCGCCTAAGTGTGTATCACGCATGGCATATAACTGACTGATTGTTAAGTTTAAGGCACCATGTTCTCCTATTGCCTCGCGTTGGTTCGTTAATTTTGTGACATAGTAATTGTCAGTTCAATCCCAGGCAGTGTAGTTGGATTTGGTGGAAACGGGGAGAGCATAAAATAAGAACTAGGTGAAATATCCCGTGTATTAAATAAACGGTTCGGTAACCTGGATAAAGGGAATAACCCCGTGCATTAAATAAAGGGTTCGGCAACCCGGATCAACATACACCTGATAACAACAGCAAAGATGAGGACAACAGCACGCATGTAAACAGTATAAATAATAATGAAAATAAATCTCAGAAATTTAAGACAGAAATAAATATTTAATTAGGCTACGGGCTTACTGATCTAGCTAATCTTATATGGTGGCCAATCGATCCCCACCTGACGTTATTGTGCCAGAAGCTTAGATCGATACTCCAAGTGGACCAATCTTCCCTAGTAGTAATGGTTTTTGAGACTAGCTTGCTAATTACTGTTCTATATTGAAGCGGCTTTGGGGATATTTAACTCTACGTTAGTCACCTCGAATTTTTGAAAATGGATAGTCCCTTGGCGTCTGCCTTCTACGAAAACTTAGCTACAACTGTGCCACATCGCGTGCTACATAATCTCACTGAGTCAGAGTATTGGGAGGGAGCAAAAGCAGAGATTACGAGTACTTTTAAAAAACTTTGGGGTAACAAAATACCCCATGTGCCTAACGGAGGGTTAATGTTTTCAGTGTTGGTCTTTTAGAGATGATCGAATTGACTATATTAGGAACTGTTCAAGAGAAGAGTTTGCGAACCGGTCTTACGGCCATATTATGTTGAAACGGTTATCGTACTATCACCGAAGTTAAGCAATGTCGATTCTGATCAGTAGCTAGATGGGT